TTTTGTTTTGTCAGGATTTTTTTTTTTCATCAAATAGCCTTTTTTTTTTTTTTTTTTTTTTGCTTGTATCCTCCAGTTAATACATTACTAAATTAGTTGACAATTATTTCAATAGTCGATTAATTTCCGCCCTAAAAAATAATCAAATGTTTTGTAAAGTCGGTAATATTTTACCTTCTTCCTCAGGTGAGCTGGAGATTGTTCGTAACGGGACTCGGCGGAACACCAGAGATGTTGGGACTACGTTCCCGTCTCCTGCAGAAGCCAGGACTTGTGGGCAGACCTCCTCTTCTTCGTCAGGCACAGTGGGAGGAAGAGGAGGAAGGAGAGTTCTTCCTAAATCAAACAGCAACCAGAAGCAGAAGAAGAGCAAGAGGAGCCCCTCCAAGCCTTACCCTAAAAGTATGTCTGCTCTTAAAGCTCCTGGCTGGTTTTTCGTTAATTCACTGAACAGGCAGCGCGTTAGCTTCGCGCGCTGTCGCCACGTCTGTCATGGACCACTGAATTTTTTTGTTGTTTTTTAATTACCTCGACACATGGTGAGCGACAAACGACAGCGAAAGCGACAGTTTTCCGCCATTCGGGATGAATCCAACACATGGGACGCGATAAAGTTGAACAGCTTTTAAATTCTTGTGTCGCATAGCTTACCAGCGTGTGGACGTCTACGTGTACGAGCTTCAAATTTCACGTGTGCGAATTTCACTGGTGACGAAGAAAGACTAGCGGTTGTCGCCTCACCGCACAGCTCGATAGAAAATGAGTAGAGAGTGACGTCGCCTCGCGGGTCGAGCCATTAACACGGTGTCAATCGCGCGCGAACCATTTCACCTCAAATTTGATGATTTGTATTAGGGTATTGTTTCATGTCAGGACCCCTCCACCGGTATTTATATGTATGAACCCTTTATGGGGGCTCATTTTCGGAGAATATGAGGCCGACTTATATGTCAATTATAAGCGACACAGCGCTTTCTCGACTCGCGCGCTTCACGCAAACTTTGAAAAACGCGACTAACTCGACCTCATGTGACAGACAGACCAACAAAAGTTTCTTCCATTTTGAAGATTAAAATGCTCTTAAGATTCTAGTTGTGTCATGTGAGAAAAGAAATATTCATTGTGTCATGTTTAATTGTTTTAAATCAATTATTTTAAGGTGTTTCGTGGTTCATCCCAGTTGACAACCTGAGGTCTGAGATGAGGAAGGAGAACCGGCCGGAGAAGATGAACACGGCGTGGCTTGAGCCGTACAGCAGAACCCGTCCCTGGAGAGAGCTGCTCAGACAGAGACAAGTCCGAGATCTGAATCCTAAAACCAAAGTATTGTCCTCTGGTCTGGCACGGGTCTCCCTGCAAGTGAGTTTATGTTTTTTTATCTTCAGAAACATGGATTTAAAAAATATATATAGTTACAATGTTCAGTGTTTAACACATAAGCATTGTGGGAGATTTCATCGTATTGCTCCGTCCCTGCAGGAGGCTCTGGAGATGCGGCGGCCAGATTTCATCTCTCAGTCCAAGCAGAGGGTGAGATGTCTGGCTCTGCAGGCCGAGGACAGGAGGATCCAGGCTGCGAGAAACCTGCTGTTCGACCAGCTAGAAGAACCTCAGAGGCTCCCGAGACCCGCAGGTATCCAGAACCTGGAGAACTGCTGCTCCACACCGTCACTCTGCAGGAGTTACAGTAACTGTAGCAGCTAAAAGTTTTTTTTCCTCTGCAAAGGCACAGCACTGTTGAGGAGAGCAGTACCGAGGAAAGAGATGATCCAGAGGTCCAAACAGTAAGCATTTAATGTTAATATCTGCATTTCACATTAGAAGCTTTACTCAGCTTACAACTCATCAGTCTATTATGGCACAACATGAAGACTTCCCACAAAATAAGTGCAAATTCAGCACGTAAACACTTAGAAACCATATCCTTGGTGTGCAGATATTTACCTCTAAGGGATGATGTTTGTTTAGTACAAAGCTGTACAAATGTAATTGTAAATAGAGAAAACATAATACTCAGAGATTAATCTGACATTTTCCAAAAAAATAAAAAAATAAAAAAAATTTTTGGGTTGTAAAACTTTAAAATTTGCTAGAGATAACCGAAACTTTTGTATTAACCAAGATTAATCTTCAAAAGAGGAAAATAAAAAAAACACGGAAATGTGGCATTTCGAAGGTCCAAAAATTTTGACTTTTGAAACTGAAATTTCCACATTTTTTGAGATTAATCTCAAAATTTCTGAATTTTTTGGCAGAAATGTATTCCTCCCTCCTCTATCGACAACAGCCCTAATACGCTGTCATATTTTAGAGTACGAATCTAACATCTTTCATTTGTAACACTGACATTGTAAATTTTATTGTAACAGAATTTATGAGAATCTTCCTGAGGTGCGTCGCAGGAGAGAGGAGGAAAGGCGGAAGGCCGAGTATCAGACGTACAGGCTGAATGCCAAGCTCTACAACAAGGTGCCGTCTGTCAGTCAGGAACAAAAACGTCCTGATCTGACTTCCTGCAGCTTTTCTGTGACCATTGGTTCCACTTTGACTCCATGTTGGAAATGACTAACATGCTGCTGCTTCTTTTCTCGTTTTCTTTTCCAGAGAGTGAGGAACCGAGTCCTGAGCAGGCGAACAGCCTGGCAGTGATTAAACGGAACAGCTCCAAAATGTTATTTATTTCATAAGTCATGTGAAATTATTTTGAGCCATTCAGTAAAGAACAAAGCAGACCCTTTTTTTTTTTTTTTTTACCAGAAAAAAGGTGCTCCAGATAATATCTGCCTATTTTTTTATCATGTGTAACAGAAACTTGGGTATTGTTTTTTTTTTGTTGTTGTTGTTGTTAAAATTAAAGTGATTTTACATTCTTTGTGTTTTGGGAATATGAAAACAACAGAGGCCGACATTGGCTTTGAAGGATTTATTGATCAGTTATCGGTTGTGCAGCAGCAGGAAACCACACAGGGGACAAAGAGACGAGCTGGACAAGCTGCAGATTCACTACACCACACAGCATCGCAATGTGCTTTCATACAAATGCACTATGCCCGTTAAACGAATTCATAAACGTTCAAGTTAATAATGACAGTTGTGTGTAAACAGAGACAGCCAGAAAATAAAAGAAAAAATGTCAGTGAGGATTCAGCCTTGGCAGACGTGGTGGTAAAAAAGAAACGTTCTTTGGCAGACATTATCGTAGTTTTCCTACAAGAAGGTTAAATTAAATTAAAAATAAAAACGAAGGCAGGTGACTGATGGCTGCAGGTTTAAGGCTCGGACAAAGTTCCAGTCTTTAGAACGTGAACATTTCTGGGCTCTCATTGATGAAACCGGTGTCGCTCACAGAGGCTGAAGCGTAGCCCAACCTAACTGTAGCCAGGCTGTGTCCACTGAAGTTATTTAGTTCCTTTAGTCTCAAAAGTTTTCCTCCAACATTTGATTAATAGCTAAAATCCTCCATCTGTTTGTAACTGAAACGTGCAGGACTTTGTTCTGTTGTGCAAATTCTAATGTTCACACACACACACACGCAAAATGACATTTACAACTCATAATTTCCCTTCTCACAGTCAAGCTAAGAACTGAGCACAAAGATTAGAACGCTTCCTAATATTCTGCACGGCTTCACGGGATTCACACAGGAGCGGAGAAGAGCTTGGTAAATGCGGTGTTTGTGAGTCTGGGCGGCATGCATCAGATTATCCACTCTGGTTTACCGCCGCAGTCTGAAGCACGGCTTTCCGTCACATCAGGATGGAATCAACCTGAAACTTAATGGAGGCGGACCTCTGAGCAAACGTGACGTCGTTTGCCATCAGGCTGAGGCCTATTTCTGATCTCTGGTAACGCTACGACCCGACAACGAGAGAGATACATGCAGAAGAGGATTCTGACTTTAGTTTGAAGTCAGAATTCAAAGAAAAAAAAGTCAAAATCCCTTTTCTTTTGTTTAGATGGTCCTAATCTCCTTCCGTAGATACAAAACAAGTATTTTTTTCTAGCTTTGTTGACATGAGTGATCATTAATAATTTATATCAAAAGCTGAACTGACGGCTGTCTGAACGCAAAAGATTGTAGTGATATTTCAAAATAAAAACAAAATAATTAGCTTATCATAGCATCGTATGTTAGCTGTTAGCATGGGCTAGCATTACTAAAACACCAGTCAACAACAGACGGATTCAAAGCTAAACTTTGCTCTGCTGAAGATTTTGCCAACTTGCAGCTTCCACACTGGAGATTGTTGTCTGCAACATGATTTAGCGCTTAAAATTGGTGCATTTGCAGATCAGAAGAGGCTGGGATTTTTCATTTTCTGACCAGGAAGTCACTGAACAAGCTGATGATACAAAACAAAACAAAACAAAACAAAACATTAAATATACTGCTAATGGCCTGAAACTGTTCCAGTTGTCAAATTGTAAAATTTCTTTTCTGTCATCCTCGTTTAAAACAGCCGAGACCAAAACGGGGCGGCATCAGAACCGAGCCTGGTGTTACATAAATAAAATCCAAGTAAGCTGAGATTAAAAATGTCACTTGTAACACAGAGCTGCTAACATCTCAAACATGAAGGTACCTCCCCGTTTTCAGCATTCAACCTTCCACTTAAGGCTGTAGATTCCTCTCGGTTTGGAGGTGGAGGAGGGAGCAGAAACTGATGGTGGCGTGTTTGTGGTGCCGCAGCAGGTGGAGGAGGGCGGGATCACAGGGGTCAAGCAACATTTAGGTCTGCAGGAGACTGTGGACTCTCTGCAGCTGGGACTGGGACAGAACGAGGCGGTGGACCTGCTCCTGACCGCGGGGACACGGCACCAGGACTCGACCCACCAGCACCGTGTCGGAGTGCTTCTCTTCGGTTGCCTGGAAATGGAAAAATACAGAGGTCAGATCCGCAGGTTCTCTAGCTGCGCTTCAGTTGATCTAAAAATCGCAAAATTAGAATTCCGAAAATAATTTTGCTCAGTGGAAAAGCCATATTTTTCTCAAAATATGGCTTATTTTATCACCACATTTTGAGTATTTTTCAACATAAAGTTGTGCTGCTAGGATGAGGTCGTTTTTCTGTCGCATCGAAATTTGTATATTTCGCAAAAAAGATTCTTACCAGTAATTGGTAAGAGTGGTAAACTTTTAATGACTTACTGTGTGAATAAACCTATCCACTTGTGATTTTAATTGCGTTTCTTATTTAATGGAAATGCCACAATTGGAAAATTGTGTTGTTTTTGTTTTTGTAACATTGGCAGAAGTTTTGCACACATTAGTAATGGAAACATAGTTTCAGCTAAAGCGTTCCAATACAGCTGAAGAGGTTTGATGTTTTTGTCGACTACCTTAACAAAGGAGGTTGAAGGGAACGTTGCAAAGTCTGACGAGACTCGAGCTCCAGGCTGCAGATTGACGACATGCTCTGCTACCTCACCCTGTTCAGAAGCAGAGAACAAGATATGCTGGTTGAAACTACTGATGATTGTTTTCTTTTTAATCCTAAAACTATTTAGAGTGTTTTTTACCTTCAGTCTGTCCAGAGTCTCTCTCAGGGACTGAAGACGTGCCGTCTGTTCCAGCAGCTGAGCACTAGGTGTCACTGTAGGACAACACAATGTTAGCGACCTCCTTCCACACAAAGAACTGTGTATATCAGTCAGTTCAGTAGAGCCGATGATTTCAGGCGATAACGACACATGGGTCTATTTAAAGTGACAGCCTCTGACCGGCGGGGTATTGGTTGAAGGTGCAATAACATGATAATTACATGGATTCATAATCAGGAGTTCCTGAAACACTTGAAAGCTGATTGGATGTAATTGAACCCTGTACCAATCTGATGGTTGAATAACAGCATTAAAAGATTATAAACAACAAATACCTTTGGTAAGCTCATGTGTCTATTTTTTCAAGAATGAGTGGCCTGTCACAAAACATCTCAATAAAACACACTGAAACTTAAAAAAGGCGTGCAGAGGAGCCAAAAATTTAATTCAAGTAAAAAGTATGGCGCAGTAAAATTATTATTCTTAAAGTTTTTTTTTCAAAATATACTCATGCAAATGCAGCTAGTCACTACCCACCTCTGTAAACTTGCGATTGTTGCAACAATGTAGCTGCGTTCCCATTAAAAATGCACTCAAAACTTTGTCAATATTGCTGAAAAACCGTAATTTCGCAATTGTGGTGTTTCCATTAAATAAGGAATGCAGCTAAATATCACACATAAATAAGTTTATTCAGGCGATAAGTTATTGAAAAAATATGCTGCGCCATCATCCTCTGACCACTTCCTGCCATCTTCTTCGTCTTTTCCGCCAGTAGTAACATCTGTCTGTTGATCACATGACTCATGTTGCAAAGAAAGCGTTTCCATCGCAGTTTTGCGAAATATACGAATTTCGACAGAGCCGATAAACCGCCTCATCCTAGTGCCACAACACAAGCTTTTTGAAATTAGCCAATTTATTTTCGTAATTCCAATTTGCGCAATTTTAAGGTCAATTGAAACGCAGCTACTGGGTGGAAGAAAATATCTGCAGTATTGATAAGAGGAAGAGGAGGAAACCAGTCACCTAACTTCCTCCACTCACTCTACTGACCCGGGGATTTTCCAGTGACGTCCACCACCTTGACGTTGGCGCTCATCTGCAGCAAAGTCTCCAGGAGCTGGTCAGTTTTGCGGTAGAGGGCGCTGGAGAGCACTTCGGGTCGTCCCTCCTTGGAGGGCAGCTTGGTCACATTGAGCGGTGGCAGAGAGGCGAGCTGGGTGCGCATCTTCTCCGCCTGCCGGGAGGAGGAGCGCACACACGAAGGTTAAAGATGCCACCGTGTGCCATCGGTTTGGGCGGCTCAGAGTTCCATCCTCACCTTCAGCCTGTTGTTCTCGTTCTTCAGGTGTTTGATGCAGAGCCGCTGGGCTTCAATCTGCTGACTCAGCAGGGGGGAGTCAATCACCTGGACGCCGGAGCCCGGGCCGACTCCGGCCATCATGTTGCCTGAGGAGGACAAGAGGAAGACTGGCTGTGACATGGAAGAGGGTATGGATGGTAGCTTCACTCCACCTTTAGGATGCTTATTTCTACCTGATCGTTCAACCAAGCCACTATGCTAAGTTACTGGTTAACGGAGGATTTCTTTATCTCACAGTTTTAACATTGAATGCATCCTGGTTGTTGGTTCTTATGGGCCAATTAGGTCAAGCTGCTATTCTAACATTGAATGTATGAAGGTCTTTGTGCCGATGTTTTATGGGATACTACTGGATATAACATCCAACCAACACTAAACTGAAAGAGATGCTTCACTACAATGCAAACACAGATCTTAATTTAGTTCCACAAACTAAAGCTCAAACTTGGAAATAAAAATGATGACACACCTCCATGGTAACAACAATTTATCCTATCGCTCTCATTGGATGAATACATGGTTTTGTGTACAGCTCAGTCGGGGTCGTAACATCTTTTTGTTGGAGGTTTCCACTGTATACTGGACCTCACAAACATCTCAAAGGCTTCTAATCAAAAACACTTTGAGTAAACTCAAAGCTTTAGTATTTACAGTACAGACTTCTCTATTCCAGTCTGTGTTTTAAATCAAATTATGAGTGAATCTCTTGGTTGGCCTCAGGATGGTGTACACCATTTTTCTCTGGACAGTCTTTCTTAAAGACGTCCCAAACAGGCTAAAGGCAGGTCAAGCAGTCTACATTCAATACATCTATGATTTAGTTGCAGTCTTACTGGACTCTTAACATGGTTTGGACTTCTGCAGAAAATCATGTTACTTTGCCTCTAACTAAGGTTGACATAATGAAAAAATAATTTCCAGCATCTCCACCTTTTAAACCAACCATTCAGTCCTGATCCAGAGTGATATCTGCTGCCATGTCGTCATTAATGCTAACAGCAACATGCAAATGATGCTATCAGTCTGTTTTAAGACTAAAACACAGCAGGCATGAGGTTTTTGTAATTACGTTAATCCTGATTAACTTTTGCTACATAACCAATTTATTCACCAATGAAGAACGTACAGGTACAAAAAAATATCGGTTTATGTCATCTAACTATAATAGCCAAGAGCAAATGGTAAAGCAGTAATAAGAAACGCTGGAATACACACAGTGTAGATATATAATCTTCATCTACTTTAAGTTTAAATACTTTCAGCTCTTTAAAGCCCCGATGACATAAAACATGCATTTTACATTTGATGAAACTCAGCCCTGTGACAACAACGAACTCAACATCATGCGGAATCACATCAGATGCAAGCAGACGGATACCTTTTTGTTCCTCTGAGGAATAAAGTACATCAATCAGAAGGTAAAAGAACAAGATCAGAAAAGAGAAACATGTTATTTCTTGTTTGAACTCAAAATACTTCACAGATTAACAGTAACAGTGTAAGATTGTGACAGATGGCTGTTACAGTAACGAGGACAGATTTGGGATTTTTTGTTGTTTTTTTCTGATCTCACTCACCTCCAGCTATTCCTGAGACCATGGAAGCGATTCCTGACGGGCTGCTGCTTCTCAGTCCGTCCGCGGTCATCTTCGACTGGCTGTTGATTCGCTGCTTCAGCTCCGTTTTCTCGGACTCCAGCTGGTCGATGTCCGCCTGCAGGGCGTCCATGGTCTCCTCGAACTCCCTGTGGAGGGGGACACCGTGGCAAAGCTGTAGACCTGCTTGCACCGCCTCGCTCTCGGGGTTTATCTCACGTGTGAAACCATAATTACTTCTCCTTCTTCTTCAGCAGGGTCTGGGCCTCGTCCAGCCGGGTCTGGATCTTCTCGACGCGCTCGTCGGCGTCTTTGGACGAGCTGTCCAGCTTCTTTTCCAGCAGACTGAGACGGATGTTCGCCTCGCTCAGCTCTTCTCCCTGAAACGTCACACAGCGTCATGACGGTGCGGGTCACTGCATGGTGACCAACACAGTTTCAATGAAATTGGTGATGTGTTGACGCCTTTCATGTCTTCTTTCCCTCACGATTGAGTTAATATCTAAAGCGCAACTTCAGTGAAAGTTTAAAAAGAAGAATTTAGTGCCTAAGTTTGATTTTGTCGGATTTTCTCTGAAGCACACAGGGTGAAAATTATACATACTGACTCAATTATATGCATACTTGTATTTGGAAGAAATTTTAATTGGTTTAAGTTCATGTTTGTTCATTTTTGAGCCACTATGAGAAAATCTACATCAAATGATAAATGAAGCCAATTTTTCTTACATTTTAACCCAATGCAGTCATAAGTTGAGTGATCTTCCCGATCAATAAACCATTTGTGCTCACGATAAACGTTTTCATTAGACGTTGAACACATTTAGTCGCTTTTCTCCACCTTGATCTTTAGAGACTTCTTCAGCTCTTTGATGACCGTTTCTCTGTCCTCCAGCTTCAGGCCCAGACCTTCGGCGTCTGTGATTTCGGCTCGAAGAGCTCCAGCTCGCAGATCCACCGGTGGAGGGTTCTGGGGGATGATGGGGCAGACAGAAATAAAACTAGTATTCTGCGTTCAGAAAACATGCACCGGATAAAAACCCTTCCAATCTGCTTTGAGGCATTTTCACAATGGAGACACATCTGCATAGTAGCTTCACAACAAGAAAATCCTTCACAGTTACCTTGCTTTGGGGCTTGTCTGAGTCATACTCCCCCTCCTGCATGGCAGTAGCCATTTTATTCATGGTTGCTATGACAATGCTACAGGACTGTCGCAGACACTCGTAGGGGTTGGCGCCCTGAGATCCATAGATCTGCAAAGATAAGGTTTAAACCTACCATCAGAATACTCCTTCCAACAAGTCGGCCATTAAACCCGGCAACATCAATATTTATACAGGGAACAACTAACCTTTATAAGGAATGAAGGCATGTAGGAACTTATAATAAAACCAGATCTGAAGAGCTTTACCAATAAGGGTCTTCTTGTTTTATGACAGTTCTGACATCTTAAAACATAAATGGATCAATTTGACATGATAAGCTAGGAACGTGATACTAATGGGGCCCTATTGATTCACACACTCTTTATGTGCCATTTAAGCTCTGGGATAATGAATGGATGAATGGATGAATTTGGGATGCCTTTTGGATGAATCAATGAAAAACATAACCTGGCTTTCAAATAAGAAGTAAAATGAACCAAAATATCTGATACACTGTAGATGATAGACTTTCACTCAACTTTTTCAGAAGTTCTGAATTTACGCTGAGATTTCGGATCTTTTTGGACTAATTAGACACAAATCCACATGAAAAGTTTGAATTAAATCACATTTTGACAAAAAGTTCAGGACAATCATTACAAGTTTAGAATGAAATAAGTTCATAATTCTTTATAAAAGGCTTTACAAAGCAATGTGATGCCTCTAAGTCTAAAACAACATTCTCAAGTACTTTCTTTTTATCTACCCTTATTGGCCTTTGGCATTTCCTAATAACTATGGTCAGTGTTTTCTCCAGTGTATTTTAAGCCTGGCGGGCCACCAGGCTTTACTTGTGCACCACCAGGCTAAACATTGCTTATTTTTTAAAGTCTGTTTTAAAATATTCCCGTTTTTTAAGACTATATAGTTATTGTTCAGATATTAATCTTCCAATCTTTAAATAACACATAATTATCAAGTGATATTTTCAAATTTCCTGTCAACTTTAAATATTTTTTAACTCAAAAACACGGCGGGCCGCTGGATGAATGACTGCCCTCGTACCCAACCACCGGGCTTAGCGAGTTTTCTAGGGGGAAACCTTGATGGTGCTGTGAGGCTAAAAATATTGCAGCCCAACTGTGTATGTGTCTTTCTTGCTCTGGGGGAGAGCCAGGATTTCATAGGATGTGTGAAATTGGGTTGGACTTGCCAAGAAGTGATTGGAGTCCTTTTGTAACAGCTTGGAGCTCAACTTCTAGTTATTATTTCCTTTGAGTGGGTTTTCTCAATTTGCTCCCAGAAAAAAAAAACAGAGGAACTGGTGTGTCACCTGTTCTGCAGCCTTGAACGCCACATCCTCCAGTTTGACTGCCGCCAGCCCGTCCTGTTCGCCGAGAGGAGACATCATCTGAGCTCCAGCAGCGGCCACTTCCTGCAGCACCGCCACCACCCAGGTCAGGTGTTTTCTGCAGTCGGAGAGCGTGTCGGACACCTGCAGTGCAGAATCGGTCAAAAGAGAACAGCAATCTGAAATCCTCTGATTCTTATCCGATCTGCTCGCCTCTATCTAAATAGAACCAGGAGCCTCTGAAATCCTGGATTACAGCTGTGGGATGTTTATATTTTAGTGCCTTTTGATCATTCTTAACATGATGTCTCAATATCGCTGCACTATGGAAGAAGTTGATAAGGTCGGAGTTGATGTGTCCGACACGGTGACGGCGACCAGAATAGCAGTTTAAAACGCGTGGTTCCCATGGTTACCTGTGGTCCGAAGTTAAGTGCGGCAGGGATGCCGGGTGCATCTGTTCCTGGCATTCTGCGGCGAATCTTCTTACAGAACTGCCTGATGTCGCTACAGGAAGTCTCCAAATCCTTCAGCAGCACGGCCAGGTCAGCCTTCTCCTGACCCGCGTGCAGGAACGCCCGCAGGCGGCCCACCTCCACTGCCATGCAGTCCAAGGCACTCTGGGTGAACTGAACATGAGAGCAAGCCATTGGATAAACATCCTAACCTAAACATTAACAGACTTCTAGTGCTATTCCAGGAAATAAAGGAAACGTGTAGCAATAATAAAACATTGAGAATGGATGGACGTGGTTTTAGTTGTTTCTGTTGACAGACTAGTCGTGTTTTTACTCACTCTGATGTGATCAGCCAGCTGCATAGTGCAGTCCTCACTCTGATCTGCCAGATGGATGCTGTACAAGTGCTAATGAATGAAAAATATTAAACATAAAGATTCATGTCAACATAGTAATATAAAAAAAAATGAGAAAAAGACGCATTGCAATGTCTTATTGACTAAAGGAGACGCTTTTTTTAGCAATGTGGAACATAATGCTGCACACCTGATAGTATTTTATGGCCTTGGTGAGCGGCTCCACGTTGACCGTCTCGTCCAGCTGGTCTTTGTGCAGCAGGTCAATGAGGAAATCCAGAGAGCGCTCATGAACACTCATCTCTGGGTACAAAGAGCCCACCTTCTTGTAGATCTCTACGCTGCACTGAGACAAAGCTCTGGCAAACAGACCCATGGAGAAGGTTGTTGCAGCAGGTGTACAGTATTTCAAAGGGTTACATAAAAAGCATGATGGGAACAAGAATGTAAAGGTGTTCACTGTGTTTGATGGTGGGACCGACTGTGAGCCCCATTTTGAACTCTTATCTGCGTCTCTGCAGTGAAACTTACTGCTCGTATTTGTGGAGAGTGGCTTGCAGCAGGCTGAGGGAGTAGACGAGACCGCCTGCGAAGCTCAGCTGCTCACCGACGCCGCCCTTCAGGCCGACTCGCTCCACACAGTTTTCATTCAGGTCAAACTTCTCCTGCGCTTGTTTGCTGATCAGCTCAGCCTGAAGACACACAAACAGAAATGGTTTCAGCTCACACACAGATATGGTTCCTCCTTCCTACACACTGGATTAAGATTGACAGGCTCAGAGATCCCTCTCCTGGATGTCCAAGACTTTGATGGACAGGACTTGTTTCAACTCTCTTCAGACGGCGTGGCAAATATATTTTACATTTGAGCTCCAAACTGACTAAGCAGCAACTTCCCTCAGCTTCCAGAATGCAATTGTTTATGTGCAATTTGGAGTTGTGAGCACACTCTCCAGCTGGGAGCCCTGTCACCTGGCAAATTCAACACAGACCAATTTCTATGTCCAAGGAGTCATAACATGGCGTTTGTCTCAGCTGCTTTGAGACATACTGGTTGCAGGCATATACTGTAGCTGCCATGGAGCCAAAAACATTGCAATAAGTTAGGCAACTTGGAGCAGAGAGACCATGATGTGGGAAAGATCAGGTTTTAGCTTTGGCAGGAAGCTTTGTCCCATTTTCTAAGGAAATCTGACCTTGTTTCTTTTGTTCTTCCTTTGTTTTCTTTTTTTGTCACATAAGACAAATCAATTTTTTTTTTTGTTTTGATTCATAGTTGAGAAAAAGGGGCAGATACTATAAGATTATTTTCTTCTTTCTGCTACCTTTCATTTCATTTTTTTCAAATACATATGTAGTATGTTTGTAAGTGTGTATATTTGTGAAATGTATACACATGGATATGTAGGTATGTATGGATGTATGGAGGTGTATTTTTTTAAAAAAATTTTGTATATTAAAAACTGTTAGGATGTTTTTTTTTTTTTTTTTTTAAAAAAAAAAAAAAAAAAACCAAAAAAAAAAAAAAAAAAATCAGACTTTCCTCAGAGGGTCTCCAAAGATCCTTCTGAGGAAGTTGTAGCCTATATTCTCGTGTATAAGTGTAGGGTTGAATACGTAACGGCCCCTACAGTGGCTCTCTATGCCACATGCTGAAAGCTCGTATTTTGCCACTCATGCAAAGAAACACCACAATCTCACAACAGACGTTTCATACACCTTTAAAACCGTTGGAGAACTTTTGCACTCCAGCGTTTGTGATGAGGTCCCTACTGTGTTCTTGATGTGTCTCTACCTAAAGTGCCTCAGCTGCACTCTGACAGTGAGCAATCTACCTTGTGAATGAGTCTGGGGATGAGCAGCAGGACCAGGATGCAGTCATGGTCTCCCCCATGACGAAGGAAGGATTCAGGCATAAAGGAGGTCAGCAGAGACACGTGTCTGTTGGCCTGAGCCACCTCCATCTTCCTCAGCTCCATCTCGATGGCCTGAAAGAACAACCAGACTTTACATGGACGGGTATGAAGTGGAGTCGCCGGCAGCCTTCTGTTGCTCGTACCAAATGAACTAACCTTGGCGTAAGCTTTTGTCTCCGCAAACTTAATCTTGAAGTCAAACATCTCTGCTGGCGGCTGCTGCTGCAGCTCCGCTGAGGCCTCCTGCTGGCTGGTCAGCTCTCTGTTCACTTCCTGCAACAAATCCCAGATACTCAGCGCACACAAGGCGTGTGACAAAAGAGTGAGCCGGATACGCTTCAGAAAACGCCAATAAAGCAACGATCAGATGTGTATGTGCACCTGCAGGTGAGCGGTCAGCTCTCGGTACTTCTTGATGGTCTGCTGGTAATCCGCCACGGTCTCCTGTGCCGCCTCGACTCGTTTCTCAGCCTCACGGACTCTGGCCGCTCCCAGGTCCAACATCTCCCTGAGCTCCAGCTCCGTTTCTCTGGCGTTCTCCTGCAGCTCATCGTTCATCTCATTTATAGCTTCCTGCGGCGCAAAGACGATGACCAGGATAGCTAAGAAAAACGCTCTTGTTGTGGAAGTTGGTACGATAGGCTATTTTCAAATATGAAGTCTGAGGAAGCATAGAGATAAAATCAAAAAAATACTGGCCACAAATTCTGATCGGTGCATTTCTACAAGAAAAAAAATCCTGTCATTTCCATTCATGGGCATACTTGAATAATTATCTTAAGATTTGGATATTCATAAACTACAATGCTTTGATTTATTTAACTTCAAACGTAAAAAAAAGAAGGAAACTTTATTGTGCGACTTACGAGCAACAACCCTTCTAAATACTGTAATATCTGGAAGGATGTTGCTTAACATCACGCATCATAAAGTTTTTCTCAGCAGAAGATAAAACATTTTTTTTACACAAGACATCGTGATCAATAACAATAAAAACCCCCGATGATCACAGTTGTCAGGACCAGAGTGTTTCTTTCACTTCTCCACTGATTCTGACCGGGCGATAGCTGCTAGGACAAATGGAGTCCTACTTAAACTCTGTGGGACCCTTTCTGCATATCGATGAGTTTTTCTGCTGACTCATTTCATATTAAAGATTAAATACATCAGGAAACAGCAGCACTTCAATTTGCTTTGAACTCCATGCCGTAAATCTGACACGAAAGCCGGCGTGAACAGTACAGCGTTTGTTCCTGAAAGTGAACTGCTTCCTCTGAGCTGCTGCTGTTTCCTCACCAGGTCTGTGACCGTCTCTCTCAGCTCCCGGACTTTCTCCTCAAGATCCAAGTTTCTCTCCGTCAGAGTCTCCACCATCTCCTCTGCCCCCAAAGCTGCATCCACCTGAAGGACAGCACGTATTAGTTTTTATTAACTGGACCAATCACACAGCGCCCACCTTCGGCACCTAATGAGTTTCTCGAACCTGTTCTTTCAACTCGTCTATCGTCTTTTCCGCCGCCGTCATTTCCTCCTGCAGCTTTTCTTTCTGGCCTCTGTGAGAGTCGAGCTCCGTGTTTTTCTTCTCCATCTGCTTCTGGAGCTTCACATGTTCTTGCTTCTCCGACGCTGACAGGTCACGCATCCTGACGCAGAGCATGGACACGGGAGGATTTTGCAGAGTAAAATGGGAAGAATAAACTTTGTTTTTGTGAATAATTAAAATCCCCGGTTTTGTTTTCCGGTGGAGAGACGCTCACCTGACCAGAGCTTCTTTTAACCTGCTGTTCTGTTCTTCCAGCTGCTTCACGTGATAACTGGAGGCGGCGCCGTCCGAACCTGAGGCAGACACCAAAACAAAGCTAGCAATGATTGTGGCTAAAAAACAAAAAGTAGCACATTACTGAGAAGTGAAATAAAAAAGATTGATGGTTTTCAAAAAGATTACAAATAAAAATCTGGAAATTGTGCCATGTATTAGTATTCAGCCATACTAATCTGTCTTTACCAACAAAAGGTCAAAACTCTTAAGATGTTATATTTTTTAAGAGCAGCAAAGTAGAGAGACCTCCAGAGGCTTCAAGCTGTTACTGCAGCCACAGGTGGCACTGACTCAGGGGCGCTGAATACAAATGCACACCACACTTTTCAGATTTTCATAAATCTGAAAAGTGTCACTTATTAACTATGCAGTAATTTAAGTTGGCTTATCACATGAAATCTCATTAATAGTCACTAAAGTTTGTGCTGTTTAGAAGCATTTCTAATAAAGTTTGTTCTGCTTTATAAACGTTTGGCAATTTTCACTGTCCTTTTCTCACCACCTTCATTGCTTTAACTCTTATTTAATTTGCTTACAAAGACAGAAGAAAACAAGAAAAATAAATCCCAGTCACTTTAAAGACAAGTATGACTTCATGAATTTGGGCCACATGTCTCCGTTCAGCTTAAACACAACTTAAAGAAACGTCTTGTGTCACCATGACAACGTGATCTGTACCTTTTTCCTCAATCTCGTGCTTCAGGATCTCCATGTCCATGGTGAGCTCCTCCACTCTCTCCTTCAGAGAGTCGACCTCCAGCTGTAGGGACTCTGCTCGCTCCTCAGCCATCTCCTTGTCCAGAGTGGCCATCTCGATGGCGTCGGCCGTGTCTGACATCTCCTCCATGTAGTGCTCCTTCGCCTCCATGGCTTCCTTAGCCTCCTACAAATGGAAATAATACAATATGTACATAAATACATAGAACTGTGTATTTAGACCTTTTTATTGGCTTAGATATTCAGTCCTGGGTTTCCTCAAGAGGTGGTGATTTTCTTTAGGCAGTGAGGGGGCAGTGACAAAAAATGGCAAATAACTCTGGTCATGAGTAAAATGAACATTGTTCTTTTATTCTATAAACTACTGTCAACATGTCTGAAATGCCAAACAAAAATTTAGTACTTATTTGCAGAAAATGAGAAATAGTCAAAATAATGAAAAGATGCAGTGCTTTTAGACCTCAAATAATGTGAAATGAGATTCTTCTAATCTATTAATTTAGAAAAAATACTAAATGTTTACTATTTGGTGGAACAACCTCTCTCTCTTAATTTTTTCCAGAGCTGCATTTCACCGTGGCGCTGCATATAGAAGGAACCCTGCAGTCGGCCTCCGGCAGCAGCTGCCACGTCCTCCACATGCGCCTCCTTACCCTTTTTGCCTCTTTGAGTTGTTTCTGCAGCTCTGCCTGCTGCTCCTGCATCTTGGTCTTCCACTCCTGCAGCTGCTCCAGCTGGATCTTGTGCTTCTCCAGCTCCTTCAGCTTGGCTTTGTCCTCCGTTCGCTTCATCTTCAGCGTCTCCAGCTTCTCGTCCAGGTCCTTCACCTGAGCCCGCAGGGCCTCCTCCTCCTGCAGCACGGACGCGGACAGATTAGAAACACGAGCCGCTTTTGTGATCTTTCTTTGATTGAGCCTCTGTTAGAAGCACAAAAAATATCTCTGGAGACACAGGGCATGCACACATGCCTTATTAATCATTTAATGTGCGCTTGGAGGATACACAGGATGCAGAGACACACACCCCTGTGAAGGCCGCACACTCAATATGAAGCTATCACACCTTTGACAGCTTGTTAAAATGTTAGTGACAGAAAAACAACAGTTCGGTGTCAAGTGCAGAAACGACACAGATATCCGCACCTCTGTTTCCATGACGACTTCCTCCTGAGGGAGTGAGACACAAATAACACAGGTTACCCCTCATGGTGGGGTTGTTTCATGATCTTAATGGATATTTTTTCTTAACTGTGCAGAAAATTAATTGTATGATTCACCTCTACCATTGGAAGTTAATCAGTGATTACTAAAAATTATTAAACTACATTTATTTTAGATTAAAAAATACAAAAAGTAGATTTCAATTGGAGATTTCATTTGCAAAAAAAAAAAAAATGGCAGTAACAATTGCCATCAGTCATTTACGATAAATGAAAAATGAGCCTCTTACAAACCAGTGGAGGATTTTTTTTATGTCCACCGTTATTATTTTGATATTGCCAAAGTTGACAATAAATGTAGAAATTAATAAATGGTTTAATAGAGAAAAAGGTGCCAAATATTGGATCAACACAATTTCCAACTTATTTGATCACAAAGTGTGACATAAATTAGTGTTTTTATTATTTTCAATTGTTATTTAATTCTCCACATTATTTGCAATCTCATTGTTTGACTAATTTTTGATTTTTCCCTTTCTGTGTTTATTTAATATTTTTGTCACATTTTATTTCATTATTCATTTTGTCTATTTCTTTTAATTTTCTGTATTCATTTCATTATTTTTTTACTCTCACTTTTGTTTTTATCATAAAACCCTCCTGTTTTCTTTATTGTGTGATTTTTTTTAACAGATGTTCTCTTTTCTTTTTCCCTGCCGCTCTTTGTGAAGAGGTAAAGTGGAAAATAATTTCTTGAAGTTTCATTGTGTATTTGCTCAAGCAACTTTTTTTGTGATACTATTTAGTTTAACGATATGAAACATTTAAGTGCAACACAAAATAGTTCTTATGAATATTCTTTGTTATTTCCATGAAAAAAAAAACTGAACCAACATGTTAATGTGCAATTAATTAAATTAAATCTTGTGTTTTTATGTAGAGAACAGGCCTCTCTAGTTTTTCCACCTTTTCATTCGTTCATGCATGAATCCCTAAAAATATTTTGGTAGCATTAAGAATGTATTCCCAGAAACAAGAGTCTTCTAATCTAAGTAACTTCATCGTAAAGCGTTTCTGCAGGATTACAAACACAAACTGACAGCTGAGTTAAAAAACATGGAAGTTAAAGGTCCAAAGGCAAAAAGATGTCACATGTCCTGGTCGTCGTTTTTCCTCTCTCTCAGCAGGGAGGCTTTTAACAATGACTTTTTAAATCTCTGCATGTTTTGCTACTTTGTAAGCAACGTTTCAGGATGTTGGTCCTGACCTTGCTGGGGCCAGGGGCCGGCAGGTTTCCAGGAGAGTGGAGGGTCGGGATGACCGGTGCAGCCAGCGGGGTCTGCGCCGGCGTGCTGGGCTCGCTGCTGCTCATCTCGCCGGCCGACGCCGACGCCGAGCCGGACGCGGCCCCCTTCCCTCCGCCGCCTGCAGGTCGGCTGGGTTGCTGGGGGAACAGAGGACGATACGTAAACAACACACATGAATAAATAAAACAGAGATGACTTTGAAAAAAAATCTAGATGAACCTGCTACAAAGGATTCTAGTGTTGAAGGTCTCTGAAGGCTTGACTGCTTTTATCATCCTGGTTTTAATCATTTATGTCGGCTTTAGGAGACCTGGTCAGTATTCATGCATATTTTAGTACAAGAGAAACATATTAAAATGTGATTTCTTTGATTTTGGGCAGAAAAAAATGTCTAAAATATATCTTTAAAATTGTGGAGAGCATTGTTGCACGTAGATTCATTTCATTGGTTACTGACACAAAATATGATCAGAACCAGGAAACAACTGAAGCATAAACACATTACTGAACACTGATTTATCTTTATTAGCAGTTGTTAGCATCAACATGCTTATTAAACTAAAGATGCACCAAGTTTGTGATTGGAATCAGCCGGTATGTTTTTAGCTTGACTGATCAGTGAATGCATGCTACACACACTCAGGTCATGGTACTAATACTCTTTGGTGCGGATGTTGACTCGGTGTTGTTGAGGTGTTAAAATGAAGTCAGAAGAAGCAGAGAAATGTAAGAAGCAAGAAACTGTACAATTGCTTCTTGTAATTGTAACAGTACACGAGCAAAAAAGAGAGAGTGAGATTTTCACCAGATGAAGGCTGAAAGGTCTGCAGTAAAATTGCTCTGTTTTTTCTTTTTGAGCTTTCAATCTTATATTTTTATCCATTGGAAACCTCTTGGAAAACTCAGAACTCAAATGTTCTCAGACGGAGACTGCTGTTTTAGTAATGCTAACTGTGCTAACCATGCTAACTGCTAATAACGGTGCTGATTTCAGTTTTAAATGTGAACACTGTAAAAATTTTGACTGTTTCGCAGCAACCACACTGATAATTCAAGACAAAAATGCTAGAAACAAATTTATTTTCAAGTAACACAAACAGAAACTGCTGTTTTAGTAATATTAACCATGCTAACTGCTAATAAATGACACTAACTCAGTTTAAAATGTAAGCGTGAGCGTGGTATTCATTTTGACTGTTTTACAGCAGCTAACCAAACAATTCAAGGCAAAAAATATGAGAAACAAATTTCTATATTTCCAGGGAATACATACAGAGACTACTGTTTTAGTAAAGCTATCTGTGCTAACCATGCTAACTGCTAATATACCATACTAATTTCTGTTTAAAATGTGAACACTATAATCATTTCAACTTTGTTTTGTGACAGTTGCCGTTTTAATTCAAAAGAAAAATGGTAGAAACAAGCGTGTCTGTTTTCTAGGGAACACGGATGGAGACTGCTTTCATAGCTATGCTAACTGTGCTAACCACAACAACTGTTAAAGGCTGTTTCCAAAGAGCCTGTATGTATACCTACTAAGTTTAACACAAATCTAATGCCTTAAATTTATTTCTGCAACTGAAAACTAATTACGTTACAATTTTAAATTGCGTTCTTCTTTCTGTATGTTATTATAGTGTAAAAATGTAAATAAACTACTTTTATTTGAATCTGTAAAATGGGTTAGAAATAATGTCCATAAAGTACACAGTGCTGCATGAAGTAAAACCCACAATCAGCCACATAATTAATGGTGTCTGAGAGGATCTGGAGGCCTGATGGTGTTGAAGACTTGAGCTCACCTTGGGCCTTCTGGCCGTGGTCTGAGAAGCACAGGGAGGAGAAAGTAAAGGAAGCAGCGGAAGGTCAAAGGGCAGGAGAAGAAGGGAAGGGAAGAAGGGAGGAAACAAACAGCCAGGGTTAGAGATTTAAGGCAAAATTCATTGTAATTGGGAAATCACAGAAAAAAAAAAGGAAAAAAGGGTGGACAATAGCGATATGACCGTTGTGTAGAGAAATATTTTCTACTTCTCTGATAGTAAAATCTAATCCCATGCATCTTATCAACAATTTTTTTAATAACAGCTCTTAGCTGGTCTGTTGTACCTCATGTCTTCCACCCACATGACCAAAACCACCGGAACAACAACGCACTGTGACTGGTACTTCCACGTCGACATCAATGCCCACTTTGTGTCTCCATCCATCTCATCTGAGCCTGGATCTTTTGTGCTGCGTACACAATGCAGACGTACTAAGATAATAGCTTGTTATCCCGATACATCACTTGTCAAGACTGAGACACCACATGAGACGGGCGGAAGGGGAACGCAGAGAAATCTGAAGAATGCCCGCAGCAAACTTTTCAACCAAAAACACTTCCTGAAACCCAGAACGTCCAGCAAACAATAGTGATTTTTCCAGCAATGGGTCTTAAATCACTGCAGGGGAATTTTAGCCTGCTCTTCTCTGCTGAATTGCTGTGATCTAGCCACTGTGGAGTATGTTTGATCCTAAGACATTGAGCTGATCAGGAAATTCTGGTTCCATCAGTTACAGCAAGTTAGCGACCACTACGTCTACCGCCTGATCTAACAAAATGTTCA